TTCGCTCAGAGCTCACGCTGTTGCTCAGGTGCTAAAGTACTGGCATTTAAGTTTTGCTTGCACAAAGGAGACGTGTTTGGTTTCTGTTGCAGTCACTTTATTTTCCTGCTTTAGGCGGCATCCGTTTCTACACAGTGTGTTCACGTACTGCACACGACAGGTGCACTAGTTGTTTACATTAGTGCCACAAATGCCTTAGACAGAGATAACTGAGACTGACTTCAAACCAAATTCTGTCCGTCTGTCCCACATTGTCCTGTTCTGTGCATTCGACATTCAGCGAAGTCCTGACATGGCCGATGTTGACGTAAACATCGGTCATGTCGCTGGTAAATTCCAATGAGTCCTTCTGTTTGTCTGTCTCGTCAACTCTGTCTCACATTTGTGTTCTATCGTCTACTTTTACTGTGTATATTCCTCACTGCTTCACGTCCACATGAGACAGCCACGCCTTTTTGTCATTCTTTCAATTTAAAACCAAAGTCATCTCATGTACTAAACGGTTAAATGCAGAGCATGGTTCGAGTAAGTCCAAGTGTTGTTTGTATGCGTTTGCTGTAACGTGGCTGGCTTGTGTACAGCACCTGCAGGCTCAGAAGGACGGAGACGATCCAGAGAGGAAGAGGAAGAAGAGGCCTTGAAAAAAAAGCATCTTCAGGAAGAACATCTTGCCAAGGTCAGTGAAATATATGAACTTTATTCCCCTGAGTAGATGATGCCCTTTATGAATATTAAAAATCAACATTTAATAATATTTGTGTGTGTGTGTGTAGATTCAGTCTGGTTTAGGAAAACTCATTCTTAAGGAGGAGAAGGAAAAGGAACAGATCAGAGAACGTCACGCACGCAGTCTCTCCGCTCAGCGTTATGACTCCAAACAGACCAACTGTGACGCAGGTACCCAGCAGCTTCTTCAGCTCTAGTTCTTTGACTTGTCAGCACTTTAGCACTGCATTGTGACGTCTGTGCCTGATGCACCTTAAGATAACTCACAGAGTCTGGATTTGTGTTTAAATTTCTGAAAAAAAAAAAATTCACCAAAAGGTTTTCTGTATGTTCTGATTAATCAAATTTAAAACCATACTATAAATTGTTTCCTTCAGACCCAACTTCACCAACAAAGACCAACTCTTTGCCCAGCTACAGAAGGAATGGTCTTCATCGGGTGAGAGTTCATACTATACTGTTAGTGTATGTGACTGTGTACAACACTCAGCACTAATTGTTTTTTAAATTCACTAAATGGTCAACACCACTTAAACATGCAAATACATCTGCATCTACGTTGTATCTTTAGTTGTTGAGTCCAGGGTTCATATTGATGGACTTGAACATGCTCAAAGGCAATGAGGTGGAAAAGGTGTTATATGCTCTTATAGCAAAAAGTTGATTGGTTTGCTGGTTCAATCCCTGGTTTTTCTAATGAAGCCAGCATGGGTATGCACTCTAAATCAGTGGTTCCCAAAGTGTGGGGTGGGCCTCCTAGAGTTGTGTTTCCCAAACTTTTTTCTGGGGACCCATATTTTAAAAGTCACAAACCTTTTCAACATTATTTGTAAACTCCTGGGAAACATGATGCGAGATGACCCAAAAAATCCTCTTGCGACCCACCTGAGGGTCGGGACCCATTAAACTAAACTATTGGAAGTGGCTGCTGCACAGCAACTCAATCTTAGATTTGAGTTGGAAAAATTGAACTGAATTGTAATTGCAGTTTTGTTGGAATTAGAGTGTTAATATTAACGTTAGCATAGACTGAGCGGCTCAACAATAGTCCCAGCTACAAACAAGGGTGCAGCAGAAAAAGTGTGGAACCACTGCACTGCCCAAACCATAGTGTTTAGTGGGAGTTTAAATCTTTTTCCATCTCTATATGTGGACCTGATATGGGCAAATGAACTGTGATATAGAGAGTGTGCCCGGCCCTCATCTGATGACTGTTGGGAGTAGCTGCAGCTCACCCCACAACCATGAAAATAATTAAGCAGTAGAAGAAAAAATAATGAGTGAATAAACAGGCACAAAACTGTAGTTTTTGCTGTTCATGAAAAGAAAAGTGTCCTGGCAGTGACGATAAAAGTCAGATCCTGGATATTGGCCGATCAAAGAGTACATAAATCAAGTCAACTCTATACTGTATTGGCCAGAGCCATCTCCTAATGTCATCACCTGTTGTGCCAAAGTATGTGTGAGAGAGCGCTTGTTAATTTTAATTTATTGCCTTTGTTGTATGTTATTGTAGTAGAGCGTGTATTGATGTGTTGTTGTCTGTGTATCCAACAGCCTCAGTCGACAGATTTCACCCAGTACAACAGCTATAGTGACATGTATGGCAGAGGCAAAGGTGAGGCTTTCGTTGAAACCACCAGCAAACAGATCTTCTCAAAGTGTCACAAGAACTTTTTAGCATCTGTGCTTAGAAATGACTCGCTACATGCAGACAAAACATAGTCCTTAACATATGTATAACTGTATAGACAGGAGGTCTGTTGGACCACAGGTGTTGTAGTTGTCAGATTAGCAGGGAGATTGTGAACCAAACCATTAACTGTGAGTCTCATTTTCTGTCCCATTTTGTCCTGCAGAGTTTCAGGTATGTCTCTCATCTGCTTCTTCACATGGCATGCTCTCTCACCTCGCACCATACATTTGCCCACTCATGCTTTGTAAGAGATACTCTGCCCTGAATGCACGCCACCCACTTCTGCCACGTGCTTGCGTCACTGTTTGAATAATGTCAACTACAGGGCGTGCAGTGCAGCGACTCTTTAATTTAAGACGCCTATAAAAAGCACTGCCCAGTAGCTGAACTGGTGTTACGTACGCGCAGTGTTCAGTTATCGCCTCATGTTGTGTCCTGAGTTGTTAACCAGTGTTTTGACTGAAGTAAATATCCTACAAATTAAAAAAAAACCTACAATGACAAAGACAACATACAAATGATTGCCCATGTCCACTACTAATAATCTCTCGAGTAATATTAAAAGCTAATCACTCCATCCAAACCTGGCCCACTGTCATTAGTGGACATGTTCATGACATTGACCCTGCAGCCCCTTCCTTTATGTTACTGTTGTGTATGTTCTATTCTATAGCACATTAAGGATGGCCGCGCAGCACTTACAAGGATGGACAGGGGAGTATCTATGCCAAATATGTTGGAACCAAAAGCAAGTATCTTCTTCTTTTCTTATGTTTTACTTATATATGTGACTTCAGATGTGAAAACATGTTGCAAGCATTTTCAGAGATTCTACCTGTAAAATTTGGACTAAAACAGTAGAATAGATCTTAGTGAAATCTGTGGGGATAGTGGTCAAAGGCAAAAAAAAAAAAGAAAAAAAGAATGATGTGTAATGAAGTGAAAGACTCACATCAGCTGAGCTCCAGATTTAGCATGCTGCTCTAGGAGCTGCTGAGTCACTGTTGCTTAGCATGCTGGCTTCCTCATGCTCACCTGCTTTTACTGACTGTGGCTGGATACTGTATGCAGTTATACAGTGGACGATCCAGAGCCCAGGTTATCATCCAAGCAACTCATGTCAGGACGTAGTGTGTACTTAATCTAAGAAGGCGCACACACAATACTGTGAAGATATGAGTTGGTCAGAGACTGCAAAGAACCTCTAGCTGCTTATTGGTGAGCATTTTCAATCAAATGCTAGTGCTGTCTATTGGATTTTTATTGATGAATGAGCTTGAAGTACAAATAATATAAGTTTTCAAAAATAAATTTTGAATTACCGGTAACTTGACCTGTATTTCTTACTTTTTATACAGTTTGTATGTTTGTTTTTTCTCTTTTTATCCTTTTTAATGTGCACACCATAGCACCCATTCATTTCTCTAAAACCCACAATAAAGCTCACACTCACAGTCAGCCCTCTGTTCCATGTCTGTTGTCCGTCCCATTGCTCTAGGTGTCACGTATAGAACAGCGCAGTTTGTCCAAAAATCGATGTTTGACTTGATAAATATGCCTCTGTGTGGGTTTCAGTCCGATTCTAGCTCGTAGGTTTTTACCTGTTTACTGATTAGTCTCTCCTTCTGAAGGTGTATCCCTATGAAATGCTCATGATAACCAGTAGAGGGAGAACTAAACTGCCCAGGGATGTGGACAGAACCAGACTTGAGGTATCAGTCTGAGTTTCTCAACTTTGTGTAAATAGCATGTTACACAATACGTATTGCTTTTGTCATTTTTGCACTGACCCCTTTTTATGGCTTTGGTGCTAACCACAAACCAACCCCACCCCAATCCTTTTGTGTTCTCGACCTTTGTTCTCACTTCTAGCGCCACTTAGCACCTGAAACGTTCTATGACATCTTTGGAATGGAGATCCAGGAGTTTGACAGGCTTCCCCTGTGGAAACGCAACGACATGAAAAAGAAGGCCAAGCTCTTCTAGCAGTCAGAGCAGCATGCCTATACTGTACATTTATTCAGATAGCACACGGCAACTGTTATCTAGATGTAGATTTTGGTTTATCTTGCTTTTTCTTATGTTTTCTTTTCTTTTTCTTTTTTTTTGGTTTTCTCCTTTTAAAAAAAGCCATGAAACGGACTTTTCTCTGACACTTTGTGTGACTGTGAGCTGAGTAGTTTGTTTGTCCAGTTGGACTTGCACAGGAAACACAGACTGGAAATCTCTTTCATGATCCAAAATGACAAGAATCAGAACGATTGAGTACTAGAGACATGTTACACGGATTGACTGCTGTTGTTTTGATTCCGGCTTTGCTTTGAGTGGAACTGCTTTCCTTTCCTGCTTGTTTTTATTCCTACTCTATGTTGATGTTGACTCCTGTGGAACTTTGTAAGTACAGTGGAACCTCATGGCGCCATTACAAAATGTCCATGCTCATAGCTTGAATGTGTGCTAGCTTTGCTTGGGCTAAAATTGGTTTAGTCCAAAGTTTTGCAAGAATCGGCTCAGTGAGTCTTTAAATGGATTTTAAAAAGAATTCTGGGTAAGCCATCTGCTGACCCACTAACTGTTTTTTGTCCAAAACAAATCCAGTCGCCTAGACATCACTATTCCCTTGACCTTAGCTACTTTACTCTTCAATCAAAATAAACTTAATTTATTCTCAGCCTCTTATCAGCAACCAGGCAGAGACTTTCCATTTTCATGTATTCGGAATTCCTTTATTATGATATTTTATTTCCGTACCCCACCTACTGCTAACCACAAATAGAGAGAAAAAAACACACATATAAGAAGAAACTGTATTTGAAAGTACTGTTTTATAAGTGAAAACCCCTCACTGCCATTTGTTGTATTTAAATCTATGCCAATAAAGCTTTAAATCACCTCAAAAACAATGGATCATCAACTTTACCAAAGGAACCCACTGTCTCTTTTCTGCTCTCTCTTCTCTCCTTCATATTTCACCACTCACATGTGGGTGCAGAGATGTTACCCAGGGTGAGAGAGGTAGTCTGAGGATTTGTTGACTTCTTTTGCAACCAAGCAGATAGTGCCTATTCTGACCTTTGTGAGCATCGATCGGAGCCAAAACGCAAATATTTACAGTATAAAGGCACAGGCTGCAGATTATTGTTCATATCCAACAACATATGCCCTACAGTTTGAACGCTCTAAGGAGAAATTAGTGTTTGCATTTAAATCACACTTTAGGAAAATAAAAGCACCATAGCCATTATAAGCTAATAACAAGGTTGTATTATCATAACTCAATTATTTGACAGATTATTTATAAAGATGGATGTAGCTCTATGGCTGCAGCTGGTGGTTGCTCAGTTAACTGAAGGGTAAACTGCCTCCCCTGTGGCTGCTGCCAAAGTCAGTGGTGTCTGTAGGTTTGCAAAGATTTGATTCACTCCATTCTTTGTACCTTTGACACTAGACATTTTACCTTGTTGATTTTAGACTAAAACGGCCACATACCAAACTATAATCATTTCCCTTTGAGACTACTCAACTACATTTACTTCCTGTTAAGTATTTGTAGGCCTAAACGACAGTAAAACTGTATTCAGTATGCTTTTCGTCAGAAAAAAAAGTCAAACACAGTAGATACAAATTTTTTCTTGAATGTTGAGGATTGTGGGTTTTTTTTACAAGAACTGATGCCACTTAAATATAAAAGCAACCCTCTTTACTGTGGTCAGGTTTCACTAACGGCTGAGGATTAAATACATTTTTCCTATGGAATACAGGAAAAGCTAAATTATGCTACATACATTTTTGCCTTTGAAACAAAAAAGATTGTTGTACCTGAAACTACTGTATGTCATTCACAAAAACTGTCTGCAACCTCGATTCCCAGGAGATGTTAGAAAAGCACCAGGAGTGTCTAAAGACGCAGAGGGAAGCAGTCAAATACCGGCTGAAAAAACTGGCAGCACGTCAGTTAGAAATCACAGTAAGTTCAGATTAATCATGGTCTGCCAGCAGGTTTAATCTAGTCTGTGGGAGGCATGAAATCAAATTGTTCATTTTTCATCAAATTAAATTGGGTTTGTGTGTGGCCCAATAATTGACACCACTGTTTTAGAGAATCTGTAATTTGTCCTGCTCTGTACCCTGTACCTACAATCTGACTGCATGAAACTCATCAATGTTTACACCTGACTCAGAAAAAGTCCTCAGTGATAAAGGAGAGCATTGTAAGGAAATACCAGGAGTTCCAAGCCATCCTGGACGCGGACTTGAAGTTGACCCTGTCCCACCTGGAGATGGAGGAACGGGCTGCAGTGTCTGCTCTGGAGGGACATATGGAGAAGAACTGGTCTCTTATCCAGTCCATTGAGCAGGACCTGGTCAGACTCACTGTGGCAATAGACCAGATTGTCAAAGAACGTAATGTGATGGTACGAAATACTCATTATATACAGATTATGTCACTTTCCTTTTCTTACTTTAGACTTTGTTGAACCTTACTGGAGTTTTTTTTTTTTATATCTCCAGTCTTGCTTTTCTTACTTTGAGCTGCAAGACATGGAGAGAGGTGACAGGTATGGGTATTATCACAAATGGATAATGTAGATAAAACAATGCGAGAAAAAAAAAACAGGTTAGAAAGTGAAATCTGAAAGTCCGTTTTGTCTTCTTTAGAGTCATCGAAGTTCTGAGCAAGACAGACCCAAGCTGTGTGAGACTGGATGAGGCTAAAGCTGAACAGATTCTCCATCTCACCAACAACATGCATCAGTTCATCTGCTCACAGACGCCTATAATAAAGAAACTCATCAAGAGCTGTCAGTTCACCTGGTAGTTGTATACTGCTCATACGTTTGTATTTCTCGTAATACTGTAATGTTCTCCTGTGTCTCTACTGTAGATTCCAGTGAAGTTTGTCTGGATCAGGAAACCGCACATCCAAGGCTGGTCATTTCAAACAAATGTGACAGCGCCACCTACACCGAGACATGGCAGCAGCATGAGGACAACCCCAAACGCTTCGACACCACCCTTAATGTCATCAGTTTGCAAGCCTTCAGCTTTGGTCGCCATTACTGGGAAATAGATGTGACTGGGAAGACTTACTGGGAGCTGGGTGTAACTTACCCCACTATTCCTCGTAAGGGTTCCACTGAGGATTGCTGGCTCGGCCGAGGAGAGGAGTCTTGGTGTGTGGAGTTCTTTGAAGGGGAATATACAGCGTGGCATGGAGGAGTTCCCCATCAACTACCTTTCACAGAGTGTTTCTGTCAGATTGGGGTTCTTTGTAGTTTCCCTGCAGGGTTGGTGACGTTCCTGGAGGCAGAGCAAATGACTCCGCTGTTTTCATTCTGTGCAGGAACCTTTACAGACTGCCTGCATTTGGCACTGTGTCCTGGTCATGACCATGGTGGAACCAATGCTAAGCCTATGGTAATCTGCAATGTTGCATCTCCTACTAACGATAATGCATCACAACTCAATTAGCTAATTAGCAAAAGTGTGGACTCGAGTCACATGACCTTGACTCGAGTTAGACTCATGTCATGACTTTGGACTCAACTTGACAAAGAGTGAAAAGACTTGCAAGTGGACTTGGACTTTATCATCAGTTACTTGTGATTTTACTTGATCTTGAGTGTTTTGACTTAAAAAGACTTTTCTGCGGCTGTATAGACACTTGAAATGAAAGAATGAATCAATGCGGTGGGGCATAGTGGTTCCATAATGTTGTGTTCGCATGCCTGCCTTGGAAGCAGAGATGTTTTTAAAATGGTTTACTTGATTGGAAACAAGACGAACATAGTGGAGTGGAGTGTAGTGGTTAGCATGTATGCGTTGGACTCAGAAAGCAGATGATCTTCACATCTTAACAAAAAGTCATGCTAAATTTTTATTTTTTCGAGAAATTGTGAAAAAAAGCTTGTTTTGCAGCACTTCAATTTAAGGAGAAACATGCAGACATCCATCCATCCATCCATTTTCATCCGCTTATCCGCTTATCCGTCGCGGGGGCAGCAGTCGCCACCCAAATCACACTGCACCGTACCAACTCCCCAAACCTTCCTGCGGGTGGTGAGTCCACTGGAAGGTATTAACCGCCTTAACCGGGATTCGAACCTGCCCAGGAGGTGAACCCTGGGGTTCCACACCGATGACAGAGACATTGCCTCTGGGCCAAAGCGCCACAACATGCAGACAATAGAAGATAATATAAAAAAAGTACTTTTTCAGAAAAATGTCATCATAATTTTTTAACTTCTAACCGAACATGACATGCTAAATTAGGATTTTACTCCTTTTTTGATATATTAATAGCACAAGACGTCTGATTTTTGCCGACTTTTTATTGTTTATTTATTTATACATATATTTTTTTATTTATTTAGTTGATGTATCTATGTAAAAGTGACAAAAAGTGTATATTGGGGGGTGCCCAAACTGTTCCACAAAGGGCCGCTGTGGCTGCAGGTTTTTGTTCCAACCAAGCAGTAGCACACCTGAGTTGACAGGTTTAATCAACTGATCTCAGTCTTCAGACAGCTGATTGGTCAAACTATGTGCTCTTGGTTGATTGGAACAAAAATCCACAGCCACACGGCCCTTTGAGGAATAGTTTGGACATGGCTGGCTATATGTATGTATATTTTCTCTCTTGTACAGTAACACCTTGAGTGTCCAGACGTACGAGTATTCCGAGATATGAGCAAGCCTTCGAGCACAGCACCTCAGTCCTGGAATGGATTATGCACATGTCTCAAGGTATTACTGTATCGTTGTATATCTTGGTCAAGGCTAGGTGCTTGGGTTGTTTTTCTTTTTTAATGGAAGTTACTGTTTTATGGAAATTTTGTTGATTTCATGTCAGACATACTACCTTTTGTAATGATTACTGCATAAAGGTTGTTTTCATGGAATCATTGGTGCCATGGCAGTAATGAATTTAGTAATAAAAACATGCTTTTTAATAAAATGAGAAAACAATAATAGAGCTTATAATTTTCCCTGCAATGCATCTAGAATTGTCTGAATATATGTTATGTTATGTTGTTTTTTTTCAAGTTAAAAAATATCCTAGAAAAAACTAATGGACGCTTTAATTGATGTTTTGAAGTGACTGAAAAATTACTGATAAATGTATATGTTTAATTATAATGAAAAAATAGAAAAAAATGTGTCCATGACCAAAGCACTCATTGTCTGCAACATATTTAAATGATGTATTACATATGGAAAGATGATTTTCAATGAAGTTTCATTTTGTATCTGCCAGTGCTTCTAAGATGGTTAGAAGATCTATTTATTTCTTCCATTTTTCTTTAAAATGTTTGAAGATTGTTTTTAAAGAAAAATAGACTTAAATAATGTGTAAGTGGGCAGAAAAATCTGCTTAGTCATCATGGCGTCTCTGTTGCTACCAAAACATGTTAATGTTACTCATCTCAATGTCCATCATCACTCCACAACAAAATTCTCTCTTACTGCAACAATTTTAGGCCGAATAATTCTGCTTGTTTTTGGTGATGCTTTGAAATTTTGAAAGCATTTCTTGAGCCATGGGACTTTTTTTGGATATTAAGGCTAAAGTCTTGCTTGTTTTTGGTGACATTTTGAAATATTCAGA